CTCAAAGGTGAAGAACTCACACTTGATGAGGACAAAATCTTCTGGAACTTTAACACCAAAAAGGTTCTTTTTAATTCTTATACTCTTATCTTTATCTTTTGGATTTGCGGCTTATTCATTGTGACATTGTAAAGCAGTTTAGAAAAAAAGATTTATATTTTTCTTCCCCACAGCCACCCCGGTCAGTGTGTAGCGAGAGCTGTCCACCAGGTACCCGCATGGCAAGAAAGAAGGGGGAACCTGTGTGCTGCTTTGACTGCATCCCTTGTTCTGAGGGAAAGATCAGCAATGACACTGGTTGGTGTTCACTTTTTAAACTTTGTATTTTGGAAACATACATATGTGTGTCAACACTTTCCATTTCTGTAGACTCTACAGAGTGCACCAGCTGTCCAGATGACTTCTGGTCCAGCCCCCAGCGTGACCACTGTGTTCCTAAGAAAACAGAGTTCCTCTCCTACCACGAACCTCTGGGTATCTGTTTGACAGCTACATCACTGCTTGGCACATTTATTTGTGCTGTTGTCCTGGGGATCTTCATCTATCATCACAACACTCCTATTGTACGTGCCAACAATTCAGAACTGAGTTTCCAGCTACTGATGTCACTAAAACTGTGTTTCCTGTGCTCATTGCTGTTTATTGGACGTCCCACACTGTGGACATGTCAGCTGAGACATGCAGCATTTGGCATCAGCTTTGTGCTTTGCATGTCATGCATCCTGGTCAAAACCATGGTGGTTCTGGCTGTGTTCCAGGCTTCTAAGCCAGGAGCTGGAGCCGGTCTGAAGTGGTTTGGTGTTTTGCAGCAGAGAGGGACAGTTCTGGTTCTTACTTCTCTTCAGGCAGCAATCTGTACTGCCTGGCTTGTTTCTTCCTCACCAACACCTCATAGGAACACCCAGTACCACAATGACAAGATCATTTATGAGTGTGTAGTTGGGTCCACAGTTGGTTTTTCACTGCTACTTGGCTACATTGGCTTTCTTGCTCTCCTCAGTTTTCTGTTAGCATTTTTAGTAAGAAAACTTCCAGATAATTTCAATGAGGCTAAACACATCACTTTCAGCATGCTTATTTTCTCTGCTGTGTGGGTGGCATTTGTTCCCGCTTATATAAGCTCACCAGGCAAATATGCAGATGCAGTGGAGGTATTTGCCATCTTGGCTTCTAGTTTCGGCCTCTTGGTGGCACTGTTTGGACCCAAATGTTATATAATTGTGATGAGACCAGAGAGAAACACAAAGAAAGCAATCATGGGTAGAGGCACTACCAAGTTTCTTAATTTTCATATAAACCCTACAATGAGCATATAGTTGTTTGTCCCTCCCCTATAATATGGCCCATTTGAATGTACTGGCAACAGAAATCTGTCATCTACAAATGTTAAAATATTGATAAGTTATGTTTTGTTTTTGAAACACAACTGGGTAATTTCTAGTGCGATGCACACAAACCTGGCAACCTACCAGCATGCAGCAAACCATCAGAGGGCAATGCAGGTTGCAGGATGGAGCTATCATGGAGCGCACTAGTCCATATACTGTATAATAAAATTATACATGGATTCAAGGTATATGTTGTCCATGATGGTATTAAGAATAGAACAGTGGTATGCAAAGTCTGCAGTACAAAAATCATCTACATGACCACTACAACATCTACTACAAAACTCACAAAGAAAGATAAGTACATTCATGTGTCTTTTCAGCTAATGTTAGCTAACTTACTGGCTGGTCAAATGTTAGCTATAAAGCTAGCATTAAGTTTAAACTGTTAGACTTGGCTTCAAATTGATTAAAGGCATGCCTTTTTATCATAATCATTGGCATTTTTGTTTAAATATGTGATATTCCAATAACATTATTAGACCCTCAGACTTTTGTATGACTTGGCTTGTGACTTGCTTGACTTATAGTATTGACTTGACTTGCTTGATTCTCACCACAGTAACCTGGGACCTGCTTGTGACTGGCACATGTGACAATTACTCCCACCACTGAAACCTACTGGGTGTTTTTTTTATGGGAAAACTATCTTAAATTAACACTTAAAGCTGAAATGTGCAACATCTGAATGCCTAGCTCAAGTATTAGTTTTACAGACTGCTGGCTGTAAATCTCTCTCCTTGCCAGATACCAATGAACTGCAGCCTGCACACTAGAAAACCCTATCCTGGACTCATCTCTCAGTATGTATGAACTGGAATACAAATTCTATTTAAACTGTTTAATAAAGTTCTTCAAGTGACTTATGAAGTTTGGTCCAAGTCCAGTTTTTGTACGGTATTTCTAGGGTTAGATGAAAATTTCATGGTGGAGGTGAGTAAAGTTTAATATGTACCAATAGGGCCATAATATAGTTAGAGGAAGTATTACATGCTCTGCAATTTGGCTGTATACAGGTGCTGGTCATATAATTAGAATATCATCAAAAAGTTGATTTATTTCACTAATTCCATTCAAAAAGTGAAACTTGTATATTATATTCATTCATTACACACAGACTGATATATTTCAAATGTTTATTTCTTTTAATTGTGATGATTATAACTGACAACCAATGAAAACCCCAAATTCGGTATCTCAGAAAATTAGAATATTGTTGTTAGGTAATTTCTTAGTCAGATAGATATTGATTAGATATTTGTTGTATTAAAAGCACATTAATAGAGAGGCGAAGGGAAGGAAAAGATGTGGTAGAAAAAAGTGTACAAGCAAAAGGGATAACCGCACCCTGGAGAGGATTGTGAAACAAAACTGATTCAAAAATGTGGGGGAGATTCACAAAGAGTGGACTGCAGCTGGAGTCAGTGCTTCCAGAACCACTACGCACAGAAAGACATGGGTTTCAGCTGTCGCATTCCTTGTGTCAAGCCACTCTTGAACAACAGACAGCGTCAGAAGCGTCTCACCTGGGCTAAAGACAAAAAGGACTGGACTGCTGCTGAGTGGTCCAAAGTCATGTTCTCTGATGAAAGTAAATTTTGCATTACCTTTGGAAATCGGGGTCCCAGAGTCTGGAGGAAGAGAGGAGAGGCACAGAATCCACGTTGCTTGAGGTCCAGTGTAAAGTTTCCACAGTCAGTGATGGTTTGGGGTGCCATGTCATCTGCTGGTGTTGGGCCACTGTGTTTTCTGAGGTCCAAGGTCAATGCAGCTGTATACCAGGAAGTTTTAGAGCACTTCATGCTTCCTGCTGCTGACCAACTTTATGGAGATGCAGATTTCATTTTCCAACAGGACTTGGCACCTGCACACAGTGCCAAAGCTACCAGTACCTGGTTTAAGGACCATGGTATCCCTGTTCTTAATTGGCCAGCAAACTCGCCTGACCTTAACCCCATAGAAAATCTATGGGGTATTGTGAAGAGGAAGATGCGATATGCCAGACCCAACAATGCAGAAGTGCTGAAGGCCACTATCAGAGCAACCTGGGCTCTCGTAACACCTGAGCAGTGCCACAGACTGATCGACTCTATGCCACGCCGCATGGCTGCAGTAATTCAGGCAAGAGGAGCCCCAACTAAGTATTGAGTGCTGTACATGCTCATACTTTTCATGTTCATACTTTTCAGTTGGCCAAGATTTCTAAAAATCCTTTCTTTGTATTGGTATTCAGTAATATTCTAATTTTCTGAGATACCGAATTTGGGGTTTTCATTGGTTGTCAGTTATAATCATCACAATTAAAAGAAATAAACATTTGAAATATATCAGTCTGTGTGTAATGAATGAATATAATATACAAGTTTCACTTTTTGAATGGAATTAGTGAAATAAATCAACTTTTTGATGATATTCTAATTATATGACCAGGACCTGTAAATGTGATTTTTACTTGTGTATCATGCTAAAAGTTCATCATCCCAGGTTCCCTTGTATTGCAAGAAAAAAAGGTATCCAAGATTATGACGTAATTGACTGTATAATTTACAAGAAGTTTTGCATTTTGTACTTATTGTTTAATGTTTAAAGTTTAGATTCTTTTTATACATCTTTTACATGCATAACTATTGGCCTATGTATTTGGGCCATGGTGAAAAGGAAGCAAGCAAATCATACATAAAGTACAATTTTGAATAAGATAAAGGAATTGAAGCATTAAATTAGTCTTTATTAAAGCCAAATTCCAGTAATTTTACAGGAGGGCTGAAGTTTCTTTCAACATTGTAAAAGTTTGTTCTGCCTTCAGGTGATCCTCTCCTGAGAAAAACCCACGAAATACACTTCAGTCTTAATTCAGTTTTTTAGTCCTTTTTTTAAACTCAGTGTGCTTTTTATTTAAATTTACATGTGTATGATGATAATATATGCCATGGTTGAACAGCTAAGTATATGTATTCACAGTATCAAACAACCAACAATACATACGTATACAATGACAATAAAGTCTCTTTCTCTGTCTTCTGGCTAATATCGCCAACCTCCTCCTGGGGTCAAAAGTCCACCATATTGTCTACAACCAGATACTCTGTGGATTGTGAGCTGGAGTATGCCGTGTAATTGACTCATTCATTTGCATATTTTTCACACAGTTCAACATAGCTTTTGATTATTTCAGGGAAATGAGTGACTATTAGGCAGTGATAGAAACAGTAGAAACAAACTTTCTTTTTTCATTATTCTACCATGTAAGTAAAGTTTATTTTTTTAAAAAAGGTTTCTTATTGTGTGTCAAATCAGTGCTAATTAAATTTAAACTACAAGCTGAATGAAATTCACAGGACTTTACTAGAATTTCTTTTTTAAATGTTGGTGATGTCTCGACCCATAATTGCTTTCTTTGTGTTCCTCTCTGGTCTCAGCAGGATGATGTAACATTTGGGTCCGAACAGTGCTACCAAGAGACCAAAGCTCGAGGCCAGGATGGCAAATACCTCCACTGCATCTGCATATTTGCCTGGGGAGTTGACATAAGCAGGGACAAATGCCACCCACACAGCACAGAAAATCAGCATGCTGAAAGTAATGAGCTTGGCTTCATTGAAGTTATCTGGAAGATTTCTTGCCAGAAATGCTAACAGAAAACTGAGGACAGCAAGAAAGCCAATATAGCCTAGTAGCACTGAAAAACCAACAGTGGACCCAATGACACACTCATAAACAATTTTGTCATTGTGGTATTGAGTGTTTTTATAAGGAGCTGGTGAGGCAGAGACAATCCAACAAGTGCAGATTGCTGCTTGAATGCATGTGAGAACAAAAACTGTTCCTCTTTGTTGCACAGCACCAAACCACTTCAGACTGGCTCCAGCTCCTGGTTTGGAGGCCCTGAACACAGCCAGAACCACCATGGTTTTGACCAAGATACATGAGACACAAAGTACAAAACTGACCCCAAATGCTGCATGTCTCAGTTGGCATGTCCACAGTGTGGGATGTCCGATAAACAGCAATGAACACAGGAAACATAGTTTAAGAGACAGCAAGAGCAGGAAACTTAGTTCTGAATTGTTGGCACGTACTATGGGTGTACAGCGATAATAGGTGAAGATCCCCAGGACAACAACACAGATGAATGTACCCAGCAAAGATGTGACTGTCAAACAGATACCCAGAGGCTCACTGTAGGAGAGGAACTCCGTTTTCTTAGGGACACAGTGGTCATGCTGGGGGCTGGACCAGAAATCCTCTGGACAGCTGGCGCACTCCATAGAATCTGACAAAAGGGGTAGGTGTCAAGATAAGTATTAATATTACATCTCCAAAAAGCAGTTTAAAAAGTGAATACCAACCAGTCTCAATGCTTATGTTTCCCTCAGAGGCTTGCACTCAAGCCAGCACACAAAGAAGATTCTCATTTCTATTCTGCATTTACTGTTATGATTTGGATTTGCTTCCTGTTCTCGTACTTATATATATATTTTTTCCTGTTCCACTCCACCTCTCGTACCATGGTTACCATGGTTTCCATTCATTGTTTTCACCTGTTGCCAATCATCCCCCGGTCTTCAGCTACCTATACTACCTCCTTTCCCTCAGTCACTCACTGATTCATTACTCTGTTCATGATACTCTAATGGTTTGCTTAAGCTGTTCTTGCGATGTTCAGACGGCCGAAAGAATAAAGAGATCTCGCCTGAGTTCTGTTCTGCACAGTGACGTACACTCCATCCTGAGTCTGCTTCAGTCCAGTGTCTGCCACTCACTTGTGTTCCTCGTTCCTGCCTGGTTTGCTCACAATGACGCCATGACACCGAGTGAGTCACCTCCAGTGCTGGGTTTGTACTTGCCTGTGAACCACGCAGCTTCTTGGCTAGCTCCTGTGACTGCTCCATTCCACTACCTGAACTCCTCGATGCCTGGGGTACTGTGAACCTACCTCGACCCTGCTCAACTCATCAGCAACCAGCTACGCCGCCCAGACCACTTCCACCTTGCAACCACCTCTGACTCCTTGCCACCTCCTGGGGTAGTCCTGAACTTTCATCGACCCTGCTCAACTTTTCAGTCACCTGTGACACCAGTCCGGCCAGCTGGTTCATCAGCAGACTCTGTCCAACCTCCACATCCACTCGGGTGACCTCTCTCCTGGGAACCTCTCCTGTCATCTGCCACCCTGTCACCTGCTACTAGTCCTTCTCCGGCATCTATACCCAGACCTGGTCGAATACCACCTGGAACATTAACCTCTTGCACTATCGTTTTTAATAAAGTCTCATTGAATCATCTGTCTTAGTTTGCCACGGAGTCCCTCAGCCCAGAACTGGTGTCACAGCCATAACATTTACCTGCTCCATTCTTCCTTTTCAACTAGTGGCTTTTGCTCTTGCAACAACACAGATGTCGGTTGGTGTTTGGTCGCAGCTTGACAGGTGCTGCTGTCTCAGTTTTCCATAAAGACTCTGGAAAGCTACCAATCTTTACTAAAGTATGTGGAAGAAATCATTGTCTCAAACTCAAAATGTTGCATTTTCTTTACATTTGACCCTGTAGCTGCTGAATGCTGCTGCTCTGCCTATTTGGAGTAACTGGTCTGCCACTTGTGTACGGTCATCTCACCATGCGGAGATGCTGACATTGTTACCATCCTGGACTCATGGGGCTAGAATGCAAAGGTATTCCACAGTCTTGAAAAATGGGCAAGCTGTATTTCATCAATTTGACTGCAACAGTGGAATGGGAATCTATTTTTCTGTACTATTCTTTTTTATTGTGCTGGAATTTTCATCTTAATCCTGGGTTTGGAGATTTCCTGCAAATGTTGGATAGCCATGTTCGAAGTGCATCTGTTGCACTCCAAGTTACATTCCCTCTCTCTTCAAGCATTTAAATATGGTTGCATCACAAAGTAATAAACTTTTACAATCAATCTGGATTACATTGGAAGTTGATTATTAATGCATTACTCCTCACAGGACATACCTAAAATTTATACACCATGTATCCACATTGCAAAAAGTTCAGACTCTAAATCATGCCAAAGTACAATGGGACTCAAAACTCTATCAGTGTATTTTGTGTATCTGCCCAGGGACTGCAAAATTTGCTATCAACTAATTCAGATGTATGGCATCTTTTGTCAGTGTATGAGATTAATGCTTTTACACATGCCCTCTGATGAATAAACTTAATAAAAGACATCATGTATCACTGATGTGCAAGTGGGCACTACTGCTTATGTCACAACTTGAGTTGCCACAGAAATGGGGATGTGCTTATTCCTTAATACCAACTAGGCATCTACAGGGGAATATACTCCTGAATTCAAATTAATGATTTTTTAGAAGAATAATGGATACCTACCAGTTTCATTGCTGATCTTTCCTTCAGAACAAGGAATGCAGTCATAACAACACACAGGCTGTCCCTTCTTTCTTGCTTTGCGTGTACCTGGGGGGCAGCTCTCACTGCACACTGACCTGGGTGGCTATAGGAGAAGAACAGTGAATTTATTGATATCCTAAACCATATGTTGTTTGCCTATGTTATACTAAAGGAAAAAAAACAACAGTATGGAGAAATAACCTCTTTGGGTTCAAAGTTCCAGAAGATTTTGTCTTCATCAAGTGTGACTTCTTCACCTTTGGAAGCTGATTTAACAAACCCCACACTCTGAACTATGGTTTTTCCATCAGGGAGCCACAGCCAGTTCATGATGTCATAGATTGGTAAGGCATCACCATTCTCATCAAATAACACTTGATCACCAAATGATGTTGTGAAGTTGACCTTTTGCAAGTAATACATAAGCTACAAATGGGAGAGATAAATTTAATAACAGGTTTATAATGTACATTTCTGCTGACAGGGCAGCCATCCGTAAAATTATCTGCATGGAAAATATAATTTAAAGCTGCAATAAGAATTCATTCAAAATCTAGCTAGTGCTAGCATGCAACTCTAGAATCAATTGCCTTCGTTCTACCCAGGCCTCCTTCTCTCCACTTTCTCCACGCTCCACCCAACCCATTCTGAATGCGGAGCCGTCACACTGTCATAGTTTGGTGAGAAATTCACAAAGTTAGCGGGCAGCATTCAACTGGTGGCCATTAAAATAATATCCCTCACTGAGCAGACTGCACTGACTCGTGCCTACTGTAAACATAACTGTATAGCAACTTCACCTACAGGACAGACAAACATGACACATTTACAGACAGCACAGTTTGTGAGCATCAGCAGAGAAAGAATGAGTGCACCCTGAAAAGGTTGCATTGCAAAAGAAGAAAGAACACTTCATCACACAAATAGGACACATGCTATTTGAAAACACATCTGAATTGAATAGAACATGCTGTCAAGTGTAGCTACACCCTTGCAGTAACTGAAGAGACAGACCCGCAGCAGAGCACTGCAGCTGTAGCAGATGCCACACTCATGGGGAAAAATCATTAAGTTAATGGAGACTACAATATATTCAGTTGGTGGACATCAAAATAATGTAATTCATGGTCACAAACTGATTCAACAGCTGCAGCAGACCAATTGGAGGCTTGTGTATGAACATGCCTGGATGTAAATGGCTGATTATTATAACTGAAAGTAGCAACACAGTGACGTCCTCAGCTTAACCAGCTTCTGGCATGAATTAGCTACAAGCACAAAGGGCTTGAGTCCTTATTGTACTACTATAAATAATAAATTCACAATACAGGCCTGGGCAGACCCTCATAACGTTAATGTTTAAATAATGTAAATGCTGCAGGAGGGACTGGGACACTTCATAAAATAGATGGCATTGTGAGGAAGGAAGATTATGTAGTTACAGTGAGGCAACATCTCAAGACATCAACCAGGAAGTTAAAGCTTGGTCGCAATTGGGTCTTCCAAATGGACAATGACCCCAAGCAGACATCTAAGGTTGTGGCAAAATGGCTTAAGGACAATAACAAAGTCAAGGAACTGGAGTGGCCATCACAAAACGCTGACCTCAAGCCAATAGAAAATTTGTGGGCAGAACTGAAAAAGCATGTGTGAGCAAGGAGGTCTACAAATCTGACTCCATTCAACCAGTTCTGTCTGGAGGAATGGCCTAAAATTCCAGCAGCTTATTGAAAGAAGCTTGTAAAAGGCATCCCGAAGCATTTGACCCAAAATAAACATTTTAAAAGCAATAGTAGCAAAAACTAACTTAGTGTATATAAACTTCTGGCCCACTGGGAATGTGTAAAAAAGTAAAAGATGAAATAAATCTTTTTCTTTACTATTATTCTGACATTCAACATTCTTAAAATAAAACAGTGATCCTAACTGACCTAAGACAGGGAACAATTATAAGATTAAATGTCAGCAGCTGTGAAAAACTGAATTTAAATGTATTTGGCTAAGATGCATGTAAACGTCTGACTTCAAATGCGTCACTCACCACTGCTGTCTAGTTTAATGTCTGCTTTGTAAAGATACAGTTCTGTAGTCCAGTACTTTAATTTGTACTAGAGTACTGAATTTGTTTGCTTTATTGTTTTTTTTGTTTTTTTTCAGTAGATGGACTAATAAGTTTTTAAAATGGTATGAGTGCTCTTAATACATGTATTAAGTAAAAGCATTTCCTACTTGACTTTGTAAAAGGAGTAGATTTTATCTTTGCTTTGTAAACAGTCCTGTGTGGTCATACTGGATATGGTCCTTATTTCTTTAGATCGATAGGCTACTGCTTGAATTTAATAAATGAAAAGCAGGGTTTTTTTTTTTTTTTTTTAAATACAGTGAGCAATGGACACATATTTGATACTAGAAATCTCAGTTTCCTCATTTTCACAAGACTATATTGCTCTGTTGTCTGACAAAATACATTTAAGTAACAGCCGTCTTACTGATATTTCATTTATCATGCCTTTATTTGCATGGTAATCCAAAAGAGTTTTTTTTTAAATATTGTGATACTTGGATAAAATTATGGAATACATCTTTAACAGGTAATTTGTAATTATATCAAAATACAAAGAGTAAAGCAACCCTCCAAACCCTGATTGTAATGTTGGTTTGCTTGTGGGAGATTAACTGTTAATTACCACAAACAGCATTTGCCACTTGCAAAAATTCTTAGAAAGGAAAGCATGTACACGTAGCAAACACAAAGGATTATGGTCTCTGTGTGAATCGTGATACTGTGATAATATTTTAGAATTAATATGTCTGCATGAGTGTGTGGGCCACTATAGTAAAAAAATCTATAGAATGTACTAAAATAGATAACTTTATTTTGGTTAAAGGGATCTTTTGTCTTTTTTATGCTTAACCACCTGCACTCCACAATATCTTTCAGCAAATAGAAGTCAGCACCACATACAGTATAAGCAAATATGACATATTTGGGTGCAGGATTTTTTTTAAGTGAAAATCTACTCTCCCAAATGTGTATTCAATAAATACCTCAAGGTGTAGCAGCTGTTTTTTCAAACATAAACATGCAGGTGGAGTGTAAATTGACACACACCTGCCATGGCTCCAGTTGTTGCAGACTGCCACAGCTCTGTCCACTGAAAGGCCCTCTCCCTGACTCACACTGCAGAAGGTCATGAAATGCATATGCCAGCGCATACACAGCCTTGTAAACATTATACTCTGGCCGGGGGTTTAAAATGTCAAAGAACTCAGTGTCCACATTCTTTAGTTCTTCCTGTCCAGTGCACAGTGCTCCTCCAGCTTCCAACCAGCCTGGTGGAGGTGGTGCAAATTTACACTGAAATGTGTATTCCCAAAACTGATTTACCTAGAATGTATTTAAAAAAGTCAGTTATAAACAATGATAATGTATGTTTCTTGCAAATGCCAGATCAGATTGCAAGATTCAATTCTCACCAGGTTATTTGCATAGCTGTTGTTTTGGTGTAGGTCAGGACGTATTTGTAAGAGGAAGTCCCTGAGCCCTGGGATTTCTCCACGACGAACAGCGATGCCCAGTGTGCCACCCAGGTATGGCATGAAGGCAGGTGTATGGAGTCCATCAACTAATGTCCATGCTTCACTGGCCATCCACTGCAGACCTGTCACATTCTTCTTCACCACCTATGCGTTGTATTAAAGTAGACCAATCTTTTATTTTTCTCAATTGGTCTACTTTGTAATATATAATAAATGACATAAAAACTAAAAAAAATGATAAAAGCATTGACATAAATTATACAAAGCCAGATGAGTCATTTAAATCAGGGTATTGTAATTTGTGTTTATAATGATAATAAATGTTTTGCATGAGTTCATTATGGGTCAAAATGCACTAATAATTAGCCAAATCAAACTTCTCAAATCCTAAATAAATCAGAGAAGTGACCAAAATATCATTAACCTGGTTCAGTTAATTGAAAAAGAACAAATGATAATTCACAAAATGGGGTGTGAACAAGTGATTTTAGGCTATCAGAAACATAAAAAAACATTGTATGTTGTCATGCTATGAATTCAGTGCATTGTCATCCCCCAACCTCTTCTATGAGTTGAACCATGTGATTCTTGGGTGCAAATACAATGACCACATGAGCTGTGGATTTTTTCATCATATCCACAATCCTGGCATATTCATTTTGATCATTGTCCCAAGGCAAAATCTCTGAATAGGCCAGACAACTTCCACCGCTCTGAGCCAAGTCAGTCTGGAAGGATTGGGCAGCGTATAGTCCATAGTCATCATCACTGACCAGTAGGCCTACCCAAGTCCAACCAAAGTGTTTTAGAATTTGAATCATAGCTCGCACCTATGTGAATAGAGTTGAGAAACTAGTGTACAGGTTAGATTATTATTTCAGTGCAGATTTTATATATGTCACAATAGAATCATAGTTAACAAATTACATTTTTCACCTAAATTTAATGACGCACAAAGTAAAGTTTAATACATACACGATGTGTTTAATTGGCAAAACGTATTTTGAAGAGTATTATACTTGAGACATACAGAATATGCAGTTTTTATTTTGCTAAGGGTGTTTCACCTGAAAAGCATCACTTGGGATTGTTCTGAAGAATGATGGAAACCTTCTCCGGTCACTCAGGCAGGAACATGTGGCAAAATAACTCACCTACAATATAATAAAAACACAAGTTGTGAATCTTATGTGCATACAAAATATTTTACTTAACAAGTTATGATTAATTCAGATACTGGATGCAGGAAACTTACAATAGGAAGTTTATATAAGCCTAGAACATTGGAGGTGGCTATAGAAAATGTTGAAAAGGGATCACCCACAATCCCCAGGACTGGAGGGGTGCCTGAACAGTTCGCCTGAAGCAGAAACTGCTCCTCTCGACCAGTGGCCAATGACAATGCAGCACTGAACCCAATACCAAGTGTAGCACAGTTGTCATAAAGGCTGTATCCCAGAGTAATATTAGGTAGCAGGTTAGGGGTTTTGTTGATCTCATCAATAGAAAAGGCCATGGTCATGGCATGCCTGAACCCTGGAGGGTCAAATCTAACATAAAATATTACCATTAAACATTGAAATGTGATACAGTTTTAATAATAATAATGATAAATCTTTCTTATGTGTGCATCTTACCCTTGGCAGCTTGGCTGATGGGGTTCTGAGGTGTACGTCAGCTCAGGGAAGACAGAGCTATAGTGGACTTCAAACAGACCACCCAGAGCTACATCTCCCGGCTTGTGCATCCCATTAAAATTAAACTCCCTCCGTAATTTACAAGACTGAGAAAGAAATAAAGACTCTGAGAAATAAAAAAAGGAAGAAATCAAGATTGCGTAGACACATAAAAAGAAATATTTAACAAGAAAGGCCCTCATGACTTCCCTCCTTCCTTCACATCTGTTTTTAGTCTTTATGCAGGTGTACCTACATTTATGTGCAGAGTTATGTCATTCCCTTTCGTCACTGTTTAGTCACACCACCTATTTTTAGTGGTGGTGAGAGATGGATCTAATACACACTTCACAATAAGAGCGCCTCATCTATGTCACATCAGCAGGTGTTTTGGTAAACAAAATTTTGAATACATATTTTGCTAGCTGCTTTAATGTTCATGGTCTATCACTTTGACAATGAAAAATCAATTTAAAAAATATTTCAGCAAGCATTTGTTAATCTAACATCCACACTTTCTCCTCACATTGAAAGTAACATATTTAATTATTATGGAACTGAAAAGAAAAGAATAACAAAGCAATAACAGCAATGAAAATTCTAAATAATTAATCATGGCACTCAGTTAGAAATGTATGTTAGTACAAACTCTTGTACACAGTTCTACTTTTTCAGAGATTAAATTTTTATTTGGTAAAAAAGTGAAGGCCTACAGTGTATTCATCATAAATCATAGGTACTGTTAAAAACTGAAATACAGTAAAACAGGAGTCAGGAACAAACAGGTAAGTCAAGCTGGACAGGCGTGGTGATGACATCACTGGGTGGTCTTGACCACACAGCAAGTAATGCAGGACCGGTGTAGCGACCACAGCACTGGGGATTCAGGAACTCACAGGTAAGGAGATAGAAACAGGAGAGTTGACAGCTGGTCAAACAGGAACACACAGCAGGTGATGCTGGACAGGGGACAACGCCAGCTGAGCTAAAGACCCAGGAACTCACAGGTAGATTGACAGGATATGTGTGGTGACAGTGTCGTAATGTCGAGGATCAGTGCTGGGGAAACAGACAAGGACAGAAAGGCATATTGATCATGGTGAACGGAGCGAGCATAGTGAGTACTCTCAAATATAATCAATGGACCAGTGAGGGACTGAGGGAAAAGAAGAGGTATATATGGGTTGCAGACCAGGAGATAATGAGGAACAGGTGAAAACAATGAACAGTGATTGTGTACAGAAATAAAGCTGGAGCAGGTGAGGTGACACTGGCCAAGAAGTATTTAACGAAAATGAAAGCTCTCAAACCGAAAAGCGGAGCTAAACCATGACAACAGAATGTCAGGCTAAATTTAAATTTTCAGTGCTTACTGTGGATTACATTAATAAATGTACTGTGATACCATGGTTTGCTTGAAAAATATATATGTATATTAACCATTATCAAATGTTTAATTATTTGTAGATGACATAAAGTAGCTGATTATTTTTGAAGGAAACTCACAGGGCAGTGTATAATTTTACTGTAGCAGTATTATAGATTTATTTACATATTGTTTTAAATATATCATAGTGAAGTAATATATTTTCTGACATATTTAAAAACTACATAAAACCTTAAAAACCCAAATATCCACTAAGTGTGCATTTGTATGGCTTTACTTATTATGAACAAAAACTAAGCTAAACATACAAACAAAAACTAAGAATCAACAAATTTTAAAAAAATGGGCAGAACTAAATTAGCTATGGTGTTTACAAAAGTAACTTTACAAGAAGAGAGAAGATATAAGGGCACTTTGTAGATGTTATACAAGACATGCAAGCTCAACAAAGTCAAATGTTTGGAGTTAAACAAGACCACAGTCTAAGAGCGTCTCCTATCTGATGTAAGCTGAAGTACAATCCAAGGAAGGAAACTTTTGTCTGAAAAGCTATATAAACCAGTGCAAACAAACTCAGGCACACATGCACTTGAGGGATGGAGATCTCTGCTCTCTTGATTGGTCTGAGATTGGCTCTGGGTTTGTTTGAACCAAACTCAGCTTTTACCTTGAATAATTGTGGGGATGATCTGAAACAAAGTGCTGGGTGTATGGAGGCTAGAGTTGATACTGGGATTATTACTGAAGCTTCATCTGTGAAGTGTGAGCTGCTGGGTACTGCTCGTCTACCTGCATTCTCAGTGGATGGTGACTATGTTATTGGGGGTGTTTTCTCCATACACAGCAACATGCACACAGTGAAGCATAACTACACCAGCAGGCCTGAGCCAGTGAAGTGCACAGGGAGGTCAGTAACAGGGAGAGGTAGGGGATAAAAGGCTGTGATTGTGTGGGACCAATGTCTAAATTTGTATGATGTTATTACAGTCTTTTTGCAATGCTGTTGAAAACTAACTAAAGAAAATAATTTTTTGTTTTATTTTTGAACAATTAGTTCAAATGCATTCTATATATTTTATGTTTTTTTTTTCAGACTATGGCCATGTGAAAAATAAGCATTTTGTGTTTATTAACTAAAAATACTGTACAGCTGTGTTGTTGATTTTTTGATGCAGTGAGGCTAACAGTTATTGTCCCTAACAATTGCAGTTCTTCTTCATAATGTGTTTTCTGTGAAAGTTATGACGTGTCCTTATTTGTAGCCTACATTTCAACAGTGACATGAGTGTCTGTGTGCAGCATTGATGGCCGTGAACTGCGCTTCTCACGTGCAATGATCTTTGCCATTGAGGAGATTAACAACAGTATGAAGCTGCTGCCAGGCATCAGGCTTGGTTATCAGGTCCATGACTCTTGTGCTGCAGTGCCTGTGGCAGTGCATGTGGCTTTCCAGCTGTCTAATGGCCTGGACCCCACATTTTTTACCGGCTACCACTGTTCTACATCTGGTATGGTGATGGCTGTTGTTGGTGAGTCTGGGTCCACACCATCCATCAGCCTTTCACGTGTCATCACGTCTTTTAATATTCCTCAAGTAAATACCTTGAATTATTGGTAAACTATGTGTTAAAAATATGCCCATAACATGACTGTGGCATTACAGGAATATAATTTGCTGCTTATCTTTAGGTGAGCCACTTTGCCACTTGTGCATGCCTATCTGATAAGCGTCAGTACCCAAGCTTCTTCAGAACAATCCCCAGTGATCATTTCCAGGCTGCTGCACTGGCCAAGCTGGTGAAACACTTTGGATGGACTTGGATAGGTGCTGTCCGGTCAGATT